GTACTGCAGAGTAACGATCATGGAGTCAAATTTCATGCTCAAAACCACACTTAGGCGGACTTGGGGGGTTCGGGGAGTGTTATGACATAATAGGTTATATATTGATAATCGATTACCATTTTCGAGTATTTATACGAAAAGGAAATAGATGAGACTTTTAGGATAACTATAAGTTTCAAGGTTCGGGAATTTGCAAAATTTGCTTTGACGTCGCCAATTATGTCGTCGTGTTTTTAATTGATAACGAAGTGGCAAGCGCAACCTGGCGGCATTCCTTTTGTAGTACAAGATAAAAAAACAATTCACAAGAGTGACTGGTTTGCATCCGCTCCCATGTCGCTGTCTCAGCCAGAGACCTTAGTGAAATCGATAGACTCGAAGCCTATCAGTCATTCCGGAGAGCTTATCATACCCACTGTTTCCATCATTGTGCGCAAAGTTCGATTTTCCCCCCCTTGTCATCCATCTTATTGTACCCCGTATTCTTGCCCCTGGATATGTTGCGCACTTCGGCCAAGGTGCCCGGTTTCTTTTTGTTCTTGGACTTCCCCTACAAAACTAGTGGTGTGATATGACTGCACCCTCTTACAAATTTTAACACTATACTATAATTTGTATGCTCGAGCGTTGTAGTTCCCGACCCAATCAAACTTCTGGTCATGTATTCCTTTTCATGTAAAGACACGTTTTGGTGTTTTCTTTGATGTACTGCAATATACATTTATTACACAATTTCATCAGACTATTTTTAATCAGCACATACCGAATTTACTTCTGCGTTTTACCTCATTTAGCGTATTAACATTTTTCAATTTTAATATTATGTTTTACAGAAAAGAAATCAATCAAATAAAAACGTAAATTTTCGGCACCAAAAGTTGATTTTGGATTTAACCCATCCCCGTTTGGAAACCCTCTCCGGGCTTCCCGTGATCCTGGGGTCTATGCCACCGTTTAGAGCTTCAGTCTTTCGGACATGTTCGACGTGCTTCTGCCTGCCATACATGCAATTCTGCCATAGATTTACCAAACCTTTGGGATAGCTCCCTAGATGGATTAGTTCTAAAAAGAACATGAGTCCTTACATTTCAGGCAGCATCATTTTTCACCTGTCCTACTTTTATTTTCTGATTAGGCCTAGCACAATGTCCCATAAAGTTACAAGTTTTTATCCTGCCCCTCCCTTACTATCTAAATGTATAACGTATGCTGAAAAATTTTGCAATTCTAACCTCACAGAACTTCTGTACAGAACATCCAATCGAGCAAGTTAAAAAGGCGCAAGTTTATTTTCTATTTTCTATCATGATCGCTCTTGCATACTTGTAGCGGAAATCGTAGTTACACAGACAAATTAAGAATACTGTCTGTTGTCTTTTTTGTCCGTCTTGTTATTACCCCCTCAGCCGGGTAGTTTCACTAATAAAATTTACCTTCCCTTACTTGTTTTTTGATCACTGCAACTTACAGTACCGGTGCTATACAGACCGCGTGCGTCATACACATATTAATGGATTCTATCATGACAAGTTTTGTACATATTAAGCTGTATTTTTGCATTTGTTTGGCTATGGTGTGTGTGTTATTTCAGTAACTTCACATGTTTTGGCACACCCTACTGCTCATGTTTTTTATTTGGCTGAGTGACTTGTGACAGTATTTGCTACGAATAGAAGGTCCTAGTCTTCCTTCTAAAAATCGAACGCTTAAGTGGTTCATATTTACATTGCGGAATATTTAAACGTATTCCCCCTAATGTGATATTATTGATGTGATCCACCAAAGTTTTGTTCTTTATTCTATGTTCATAACCTGGATTTCGCGCTTGTGTTTTTAATATATCGACAGTTTTTTTTTTCCCATATTTTTTGTATGTAGGTTAACTGATGTTTAGATGCACTCCCGTAAGCTCGCGCCCTTATAGTAAGAATTATAGTGATACAGTTTGGGATGTCTTCTTTTGCTTTCACAACCTCCTTCTCCATAACTAGTTAGTCCACCCCCAATATAATCCATATGTATTAATTTCACGCAATGGATTTAAAGCGATAGATCTGCGTCCCAAGTTGTTGACCTTCAACCCTTTGTCGCTGAGAGTTTTTGCATGCACCATTTCTATGTTGTATTGTCTCATGCTCCTACGATTTCTGTTGAGCACGTTGCTTTAATCCCTCAGGTCTTTATGTCTGTCTTTTTTCGGATTCCATGGGGTGGAATATCTCGTGGAGTGTGTGTCTTTACCGGAATGAGCGCCATTTCGCGGCTCTATTTGTATTCCCTCATTCTTGTGAGCATTTGACTTTATGCAACATTAATCTTTAACCTGGTCCCTACTGACGGTTGCCCCTTACAATTCCAAGCTAGCTAAGAATACGTAGAAAGTGAACAAGTAAGTACTTATAACTTTACACATTGTAATGATGGCAAACTACTCAATTTGCCCGTTAAGACACCGGCTATTGCTTATGTTTTCTAGAAAGTTTACGTCTCAGCAGCCATTCTTCTCATATAGAAATTCGACCGGCAGATTTTCATATAACGACATTTTTAATACCATGCTAGTAAATGGAGGCCCAGCGGGTCGTAGCACCTTTTCTCTACTATCGTCCCATAACTCCCATTCAACATCAGTTTGAGATCATGCTTTCAAGTAACAATAGCGACCTACTTAATTTGGTATATACTGTCAACCATGCATTGCCATACTATTCTCCGTCCTTCCCTTACTTTCACGAACCATATAAATGTTTAAGTACACATTGATTTACATGAAACTGAGAGGCTACAGTTAAAATGTAGCCACTGCTGTAAAAATTTAAACACTGACCACATACTTGTGTTTTTTTTTTAAATAAGAGTTGGCTGCATCTTGAGAGGGTGCAGACAATCAGAAAGTATCAGAGTTTAAAGTTGGCACATATGAAAGAGTTAAAAATCTTCAATGGCTTTAACATTAGTCTATTAAGGAGACCCATTTTTTAGCAACTCACTTTTTTACATTGCAACAAACCATTGCAATTTAGGAGCTAAATAGATTGGTAGCAGGTGGAATTTGCGGAAATGAAATGCTATGTACACATTAAAAAACTGCTAGAATAATAAAACAAAAGGGAACCACAGCAAAGAAGGCAAACTTTAATCTTTATTAACAGCATAAAAATTACAATTACATCATTTGTCACACACAAACTCATTCCACTCCTTTCTGTTGTTTTCCAATGACTGAACAGCATATGTGCATGTAAGGTGAAATAAAACAATGAAATGAAAGTGTACAAGTCTAGTAAAAAAATCTTCATATAAAAAGCCAAAGTTTCAGCAAAAGACAAAAGTGCCCCATATTGTTTAAAATACAAAAGCCATATGAAAATCTTAAAGAATTGGTATGGAGCAGTCGATCAGAATTACATTTTTGTTTTTATTTAGAAATAATCAAATACATAATTTTCTTGATTATGTTAATACACTGTTTTATGTTTGTCCACTGGAAATGCATTCCTTATCAACAAATAAGTTAAACTATCCTCATCGCACTACAGTTCCAGAATTTAAAATCAAAAGAAAGACATTTTACTACAAAAACTATCACTGCCGATTAGTTGAAAGTACAGTGAGCGAACCCGAGTGTTTAAAAAAAGTGCTCTTTTCCATTGGAATTTTCCTAAACACAAGACAAATGTGCTCATCTTTTTGTGGTGGGCAAAATCACACAAATTCCTTGTTTTGTATAAGAAATAAAAACAAAAAAAAAAAAAAAAAAAACAACTTTGGTTTCGTTCCCATTTCACCATTATTAAACTACCAATAAACTAGAAAACAGATTTTAATTACTGAAATGCAATTAAAAATTTCCAGGTTCGCATGTAGTATTTAATGGTCACCTGTCACTGGGAATCAGAATTTAAGAAAGTGGTTTCCAATATGAAGTGAAGTTTCCAATACCATGATTACCTATGTATTAAAATAAGATTACACCAAAGAATTATTTTGGATTGCAAATAACGCATTATGCAGAATATTTTTAACAATTTCTCGGTTATTAATTAAAGATAATTATAAAAATTCACACTATTATAAACTAAACTTAATACGTTTTTTATATGACGGATGTTTAATATTCTCAGACTTCAATTCAACATTAAAACAAACAACATTAAACAAAGAATAACTAAATTTAATGTCAAATTTATTAATTAGAAACTGAATTTCTGTCTTACCTTGGTTAAATAAAAAATATTTAATGATTCAGTTTTAAATATATAACAAATGTTTGCACAAAGTTGCATCACTGAAATAAGAAATAGCGAATGTGTGAAGAAAATAAGTCAAAAGACAACTGAATTTTCAATAACCAGTTTTTTAAATCATGAAACACCAATAATTAACCACTAAACACAGTAATATATTCATAAAAAATATTTTTCTATTGTTTAATTTCATTTCTCCTTTCCAGGTGGCTTTGCCCAAAGAGCATGCATGTAAAGGAGATAAGCTTTCATAGGAAATCAGATTGCCTACTGCGCTGCTAAATTGTGGGGGATCTGCACTGCTAATCGTACATCAAATTCCTGCCACCAAATCACCAAATGTACAGGAAATTGAGGAATACGGTACAAAATCAAAAACTTATAAGGATTCAATATTGGACAAAACTTTTCACAATAATGTACAAATTCTGATTTTTCATAGACATTTTTTACTCAAAATAAATAATCAGTTAATCTACTTGCGTGGATCTTTAATTTGATTTTCATCAATACAGGTAGAACAGTGTTGCAGAAGTTTGAACTGTTGACAAATGTGACTTTCCACACTGGCTCAAGAGCTATTCATGTATGCGCAAAAAAATATTAAGGTTGGATGGATAACTCCTGTATAGTAAAACACTGTATTTTTTACCCTGCTTTGGTTAAAATATTGGCTAAAATTCTTCTAAATAATATTCTAATATCAACTCCAATCTTTATGGTAAAAGACTGGAATAAATAAATATCTGCATGGTAAATATGGAAATAAACTTTATTAATTTGCAATGTTTTCTAGATTTTCTACAATTCACCACATTGGAGGAATAATAGTGCACTTGTTATTTCATGATTGTAAATATGAATTTCACATGTAAAATAAAACGCCATAACATATGGTCAGAAAAATTCATTTAAGCAATTCTACTTAAATTACATACTTAATACTTCATTATTGGAAACCACTGTATTGGTCTCATAAAGCATCAAATTAAATGAGATTCTCAGAAGTTTTCATGCAATAAAATCAATTATTTACAAGATACATGATAATCCATGAAATTCCACACACATAATACACAATTGAATTACACTCCTCAGTTCATGATTCATAAATTTTAGCCCATTCACCCACCACTGTTTTCTCCTGTGAGTAGAAAAAGTTTGTATGGAGAACAATATTTTTTTTTCGTACACATTTGCAGAAGAGTGTGCCAGTTCCTTTATAGCCAAGGCACCAATATATCGTTCAAGTTTACCTTTTTAAATAGAAATCTGGACACTCTACTGTGGTTCACTATGACTGTACTCGGCAATACCATCTTAGAACTATCTTTGTCAAAGGACCAATTGTTTGGGAATTTCCCAAGGAAATTCTGATCGTCCAAAGTGACCATATGCACTTGTTTTATGATAAATAGGTTTTTTCAGTCCCAGTTCCCTAGGAAAAAATATAATGCGTTTAAAATTCTAGCACAAATTGAATCAAACTTCATACACATTTATTACAAGGCCAAAAATAAAAAATAACATTTTTAGTGTTAACACAATCTGATATACTCAAAAGTTCAAAAGGGGAAACAAGTGAAGAAAATAATTTTAGTAGTGGTTTACTGTATCAAGGAACTAGTAAATGTTCTCAAATTCTAAGTGGATTTAATTTTACAAATATAAAAATAACAATATTTTAAGACGCTTAATATTTTGATAACCTGCAAAGAGATGATTTCAATAATCAAATTACATTTTGGGGAGGGAAGGGGGAAAACCACTTTTTAATAGCACAAGAAATTTAAAAACAAATGTTGACATTGTTATTTAATAAGGCAGGAAAGAGAGAGGTGAAGAGAGAAGCATTAAAAGACAGATCGTATTAGAATTTGGCTTCTGCTTAAGTACACAAGTTTCTTTAAAAACTCCCACATCACCAAAACTCTAGATTTGTAAAGGTGATATAATAAAGCTAGAAGCAGCTAATAAGAATCAGACTTTGGTAACTGAAAAAGAAGAGAGAAATTTATATCTGCTAATAATAAACAGTCTGTTGAAAAATTAGGATTTATTTACCGAAAAATAATTCAGTATTTTATTAAAAATAAATTTTTTCCTTGATCACATTTCTTGATCCTGCTTGTCAAAAATTCAGAAAATATGCAAGTTAGAATGCTGATACAAAATGCTGTTTTGATACTTAGATTATGTCAAAAGCAATAAAATATACAGTCAAAAGTCGTTAATCCGGACTCGTCGGGACTTCGGCGATTCCGGATTATCGATTTTTCCGGATTATAGATCATCAGTTTAAATCTGGTAAGATGGCATGCAAAAAAAATTACAAAATTAAAATATGAAACCGTAATTTATGAAATAAAGAAACAATTATGATCTAAAGGGTATCAAAATTGTGACGAAAATACTAAATTAGTACAGAATTATAATCCAAAAAAATAAAAACATCTGCTCTGAAGATAAGGATAGTGTTGACGATCAACTTTCCAATCCGCCGTGAAATTCATAAACAGATTCGGATTTGAAAACTACTTCTCTTGTAGATACAAATTACATATTAGTAAATATATATTGGAATTCTATTTGACATAATCTTTCTAATCTAATAATCTAATAATGACGTTTCTGCCCCTCCCCTCTGCCGCAGAGCAGCGTGAAATTGATAACAGATTTCGGATTTCAAAACATACTTTCGCTTGTAGTAAATATATATCGGAAATTATTTTGACATAATCGAAAAGTCAAGCTTACTTTATAAAAATGCTCTAAACAGTCTGCAAAAAAATAAAAAGCTGGATCCAATTCGAAGATTAGGAACAACGCAATCTGCAACTTAAACTGAATTAGATAACTTTAGCTTAGCGTTATAAACTCCGTTAAACATTAAACGCGCATGCGCACAACATATTCGCAGCCGTAAACGCCTGTGCGCATGCGTGAACGCGAAGCATGCGCAGAAAGTTTGTAGCTTTGAGGTCCGGATTATAGATCATTCCGGATTATGGGTGTCCGAATTAACGACTTTTGACTGTACTAGGAAAAGAAAAATATTTCAAGAAAACTAATAAGTTTTTAACTAATTGGTTATATTCAAATATAAACTAATTGTTGTTGCTCATGTTGTATCCTTAAATGATAAATTTCTGACAAATTTTTGAATATATTTACACTATCTGGATAATGTTATTTGGTTGGGGGGGGGAATGAAAGCTTTCAGACTTTATATTACGTCCAAAAGGGCCTTTTTTCATTTACACAAATACACATGTTTCGAGAACAACTTGGGATAATGCCCCTTTGGGCCAAAATTATTTTAAAACAGCATATCTTTAGAACTTCCTATAGATAGTCTCGTGCGCTGGAGATATCCCCTTCCCCATACGTTGTTGTCTTCACTCGCTTTGAAATCATAGAGTTTGTTAAAATTCTACAAAATGTGAAGTGGACAATAAATCTAATTCTAAATTTGGGTGGAGGACTAAGTTATTCAAAATTTGATGGCTCTAGGTACCATCGTATTTTCACAATGTGAGAAACATACATACATTCAAGCAGATTCTTCATTATTCAATTTTTTTTTAATATAATGCAGGGCTCTAATATTTCATGGCAACAATTTGAAAAGTGAAAAGGACATTTATAGCGAACAGATGCAAAATCCTGTTTTGAGACTAATAGCCTTTCTAGGCTAAAAAAAAAAAATACTGGTTATATATAAAGATGGGAGATGTATTTGAGAAATATGTTAAATTACTATGAATTTAACACTAAATTTTTTTAGGGTAACATAAGGAAAAATTAATTGGAAATAATGTAATTTTTTTTTTAAAAAATCTTACTTTATGATAATTCCAGGTCGCAAATCAAAATTTTTCATCACAATCTCCAATAATTCTTTTTGAGTTTTTGCCGAAGTTCCATAGGACAATACCGTTATGGATAATGGTTCCGCAATTCCAATGGCATAAGATAACTAACAAAAGAACATTGAATAATCTTAAATCTCTAGCAAATGATCAAATCCTTCAAAACATGAACATAACTTCAATAGAACATTTTTCGTGCTTTGTATTAAAATGTTTTGTTTCGTTAAACACACATTATATTGCTTATTAATTGTGCTGCCACTTTTATGCAAATAAACTTACCATTACTCTAAAAGCCAAATCTTCAAAGAGGTGCCCTAACATAAAAGTGCCTATAACTTTTATGCTAGGACACTTTTTGACTTCAATACAAATCTCCACAAAGATACGCAAATCTTTATTGTACGATACTACTGAGCATTTAAAGTTTTAGTTTGCTTTCAGATTAACAAAGCAGATGGATATTCCAATCATATGAAAGTGACCTCAGTATTATGAAGATATGATACTACCCCCCCAGCAGTACATGAGCAGTAAGAAAGTAATAATTAAAAAAACAAAAATTTGTCAAAATTATTTGGCAGAGTATTTTTAAAGGGTATTTTTCTCTTTTATTTAACAGACTAAACCTGTTTACATGTTCAACTTATTTTTCGCTTTGAAGTTTTACATGTTTCTTTCAGCTTAATATTTTCAACATTCTAACAAACAGCGATTCGGAAAAGCTAGATTTTTAATCTTTCAGGTTTAATGAATCTGTTACTGTTTAACTAAGCTCTATTTTTAAAAGCAAAAAATAGCTAATTTATCTAAACTAAAGCACACTTTCTAATATATCCAATACACTGGTGAAATAAATAAATTTGCATATTTTATCGAATTGCAAGTAAAGAACTGAAGGAAAAACTACTGCTTCTAGATTAAAATGCAAATCTTGTACGGCAAATACGTAAGCGTACATGTTTCTGTAAATGAAACCAGCAGAAAAATAGACTTTATATGGGAGTGGAGGGTAAGACGAATTGTGTTCGCTAGCACACCTCGACACATTTCTTTGTGTTATCTTGCAGCAATCAGTTAAATTCACATCGGAGCAGCAAAAATGAGTAACCACCAACGTTTAGATGATGGAATGAGGTGGCGAATTGTGGGGAGGCTAGAGGCAGGCCAGTCGCAAGTTATGATAGGCAGAGAATTTAACACCCAGCATCGTGTGTAACCTATAGAAACAGTTCCAGGATACTGGATCCATCGATAGAAAGCCTAGACAAGGTCGTCCAAGAGCCACGACGGCCAGAGAAGATCGCTATTTGTCCATTTAGCGAGCGTAACAGAGGGGCTACAGATTCTCAGTTGTCTCGGGACCTGTATGCAGCCACAGGAACCCGTGTAACAAGGGTGATTGTTTCCAAAAGACTGAATGAGAGAGGTTTGTTTGCCAAAAGACTGGCGGCTGTTTGCGTCCTGCTCACATCTATGGAGAGGAGAGTCCGATTAGCATGGTGCAGGCAGCATAGTCATTGGAGTACGGAGCAATGGGCAACCGTTCTATTTACTGATGAGTCCTGTTTTAACCTAAACACTAATTCCCGCCTTACTTTCCTATGGAGAAAGCCAGGGACCCGCTACCTATCCTACAACGTCTGCGAAATCAACAATTATGGCAGTGACCGTGTAATGGTCTAGAAAGGCATCATGTTGGATGGCCGCACATCTGTCCACATCTTTGACAGAGGCACTGTGACGGTGTGAGGTATGGGGATGAGGTCTTGGAGCCCTATATTCGCTTTTTCCGGGGTGCAGTGGGCCCCGAGTTCATCTTACAGGACGATAATGCGAGGCCACATAGAGCTCTTCTGGTCGACGAATTCCTCGAAAGCGAGGATATTCGCCAGATGGATCAGCCAGCCAGGCCTCCAGACCTCAACCCTACACAGCAAGTTCTGGGTAAGGCAATTGCAACTTGCAACACCCCTCCGAAAACCATCCAGGAACTGAAAACATCGTTGCTGAATCAGTGGGACCAGTTGCCACAGGCACTGATAAACTGCCTCATTTCCAGTATGACATCAATGCTGCGAGGCTTGTGTGGCTGTAAGAGGAAACCATACCACATTTCTTTTGTGTCTTCTGCAACTGCTGTTTCAGACCTTCAGACTCCCACGAGCGTTACACACGAACATATGGATCTATTATAACTGTTGAATGTTTATTTTGTTTGTATTATATCAACTCATATTCACACCAAATTTTATTAAAAATCTGTCCAGTAGTTCTGGAGATTGTAGATTAAATATGAAAATTCTCTTAATTTTTTTCACCAGTTAGATAACTTTCTGTCACACTGTGTTATGCAACTAGTACAGAGTCTATTACTTTTTTATGCGAACGTTTTGTTTTATAGCGAGTTTAACTTCCAAGCAAAGTGAAATACATTTAAAAAAGTTCATAGTTAAAATTTCTTAGGTTTGATTTAGTTTATTTGATTACGGCAAAGCACTGTAAGGCTATTTGCCTAAGGAAAGGGATGCCTTTGTGGAGGACTTTCTAAGGGAAGCTGTCTTATATACACGTTGCACATGAGGAAAACCTCCAAAACGCCCATGCAGTCAGCCCGTTCACAAAATTCGAACCTCAGACCAAATTACCAGTGTTCGGTGACTTTACCACTCGGTCGCTGGTGAGCAAAAGTCTCTTAGGAACACAAATATACTTATATACAGGGTTGCCACTCAAACAGGAGAATGAAATTCCCTGATTTTTCCAGGTGTTTTAAGAAAATTCCAGTCTATCCATGAAATGCAAGTTGGCTGTGCTAAGAGGTAAATTAATTATGGTATTACTTGAAAAAACAAATTTGCCAATTACATATGACTTATAATATATATATATATATATATTTCCAATGCATTACTATTATAACTATAATAGGAGTTGTTTTCTCCATTGAAGATTGAGATTAGAATCTGCCCAATCTAGATTAAAAAAAGTCTTTTTTTTTTGCAAACATTTTGCAGCTAAACAAAAGAAATCTATTTAATGCTATTTTTTAATAAATTCGGGTATTTTATAATTTAGCAGCATACATAAGAAAAAAATTTGTGCATTAAATTTCGTGATGGTATGTCATCATACTGCTAGAATTAATTTCAGGATTATGCCAAAGAAAATTTTCTGAAATTTGAAAGTATTATTTACTAATAAATAAATTTAGAGGGAAGAAGCAACATTAAATGATATGAATAGCATAAAGATAATTACTTAAAAATTGAATTAGAATAATCAACGATATTTTAGTGAGAATATACTAGCCTAGTGACTGATTACTATTTTTTTTATTTTACTGCAAAATGACAAATAAGGCATTTATTAAAAAGAAAAAAAGAAAAAAAAAGGTTGAAAACATTTTGGGATAAAATTCTAGCCTTGGCACGATTTTGAAAATTGTTGCCAACACCAAAATGACCTGTTTTACTGCTCATCATAATGTTGCCAAATCCCATGTGTACCTTACATGGAGGTTATTCTAACCAAAGAACGTCTATGTAAAGAAGGAAAGGTTTCACAGACATAATGCTATTACGGCGCTAGGAAGTGGAGGGAAAATTTGTCAGCTGCCCAGAATTTCCCTCTCAGCGATGTGTACAGGAAATCGAGAAACTGTTGTTAAGAAGAAATGTTCTTTGACAAAACGCTTCTTTTTAAAATTTTTTGAAATGATTTAAACATGGATTTTCGTAAGAGTTTTCCCCTTCAAAATTACTAATCCATTAATGAATTTACTTGCATGAAAAAATATTTTCTTTTCCTTTAAAGTTTAAGAAATTTTAAACGATATTCATTTTACGAACTCCGACCCAGGCTTCGAGCTTTGGCGACAGATATTTCCCTCTGAAACTAAGACACTCCTGTTGCAGAAAAGTTTTTCCTTCTTAAAAATTCATATTCTTTGTTTCTAACCTCCTTAGTACCATATACTAGGTAGGATTAAACTGATTTTGTTTTATACTACAATAAGTATTTTGTTTAGTTCAACATGCACTGCACATGCGCACGCAATTCTCGAGATTACTGGAAAGCAAAGCTGCTGGAAACTTGTTTTGCCTTTCTAAAAGACAATGTAATTGAAGCAGCGAAAATTGGCTCTATGCCATCTGCCTGAATGACGCTCACACGATACACAATTCGCCAAGAAAGTGATCGCTTCCAACATCGGTGCAAAACTGGCTTTTTTGGGGGGGGGGATCGCGTATGAAATTCCCCGACATTTTCATTTTTTGACTAAAATATTTAAATTCTCCGACTTTTCCCTGAATTTTTTTCAGGCAGCGTGGCAAACCTATATATATTAGTATAATTATTCTGGTCATTTGACAACTTAATACTGAAAAAGGAAACGACTTATATACATAAAAAATATCAATGTTTTCATTACATATTTATGTTAAAAATCAATTAAGTCTAGTAATAAGCAGTTTTCTTTTTGCACAGATGAAAATTTTGAGGCAACCACTTTAAAAAAAAATTCAAAACAGTTATCTTTAGTACTTTTTTAATATTCATGACCCCTGAAAAGTATTCACGAGACATGCTATGTCATTAAAATAAACAATCCATGAGATGAAAAAATGTATTTATATGGCAACTTAAGTATGCACACATGCACAGCAGACAAGTGATCATTACCAATTCTGTTGCATCAAGTCATTTTTTTTTTCCTTGAAAGTAATCATAATAGGATTGTGATGTTTGCCAGCTAATGAAAAAGAAAGCATTGGATTTTTTCAAAAATATACAGTCAAAAGTCTTTAATCCGGACTCGACGTGACTTCGGTGATTCCGGATTATCAGTTTTCCAGATTATAGATCATCAATTTAAATCTGGTAAGATGGCATGCAGAAATTATAAAATTAAAAATATAAAACCATAATTTATGAAATAAAGAGCAATTATGATCTAAAGAGTATCACATTTACAAAAAAAAAAAAAAAAAAAAAAAAAAAAAAATATTTATTTGTTTACTTTATTAAACATTTCTTTCAATGTGCGGATGCGTAAAGCATGCATTACGCATAGTCGAAATTAAAAAATTGCAACCAGAAAACTATTTGATGTGTATTCATGATATTTATAATGACGAGGAATTTGATTTAAATCATATCAAAGACGGAGTACATCGAGATGAAATACTACATTTAGTAAGGAATTATAAGCCAAATAAAATAAAAACATCTGCTCTGAAGATAAGGATAGTGCTGACAGATCAACTTTCAGTTCATTGCGGGTAGCGACGTTTCCCCTCTCCCCGCCCGCAGAGCAGCGTGAAATTGATAAACAGATTCGGAATGGTTAGAGAAACAAAGGATATTTTTTGCAGCGTTTGCGTATTCCACTTTTTGTTTGATGGACATTGAATCATGCTTTCACTTTGTAGATAGATCCTTAGGCAGCTCCAGAATCGGAAATTCTATTTCACATAATCGAAAGTTCAAGATTACTCTTATAAAATTGGTCGACAATCTGCAAAAAATAATAAGCCGGATCCAATTCGAAGATTAAAGAACCTTGCAATCTGCAACATTAACTGAAATAGAGCTTAGCTTATACCATCCGTTAAACATTAAACGTGCATGCACAAATGTATTATGCTCATGCGCACACGCAAATGCGCTTGCGCGAACGCATTATTGTTGACGCATGCGCAGAAAGTTTGTAGCTTTAAGGTCCGGATTATAGATCATTCCGGATTATGGGTGTCCAGATTAACGACTTTTGACTGTATAATTTTGCCTAACAGTATGTAAGATTGCAAATGGAATTCGCCTATGAAGTTGTATTTTGCAAATGATTAAATTATATGAATCAAAATGTAAGGAATTCCCTAATTCTTCTTAAATAAAAACTGATTGCTGTATACATGAAAAAATGGTGTGTGCAACAAATTTGCTCATTTCTCTTTGTTCTTTTAAGACTGCTGTGCCCCCCCATATACAGATTGCTGTATATGGGGTGGCACAGCAGAGTGCGCAGCACCAAGCTGCTGCATTGCCATGGGTAGAAAGTCCCCCCCCAAAAAAAAGACTACAGATGTTTCTTGAACTTTAAATTTTGTTAACTGATTTAGTTTTAAGTAATTCTTAGTTTGCTTGCATTTTTTTTAAAAATGGTTGTTATCTTTCACATTCTTAGCTTGCAAACAATTAGTCATTAACAATTGCCGATTTTCTGGAATGAAATTGCAGATAAACAAAAAGTATACCTTTATACATTTTATGAACAAAATATAGTAGTTCTGCATACATTTTACTGAAGGTAAATCTCAAACATATATTTTAAAATTTAATTTCAGACAAAAATATTATGACTTTTTTTATAAAAGCCATTGGAACTTGTAATAAAGAAGTCATAAAAACTGTGATGTTTGTTAAAACTAAAGAATTGTGCGCACATAGCATCACCCAAAGAAATGCTATCCACATGACTGTCAGAATTAGGCACATTTTGAAAACTTGCGAGTTTCTATTAAGGTAGTTGTTTTAATATGCAAGTAGCAGAATATAATAGAATTACAATAAAAAATACAGTCAAAATTTTTTAACCAACATTCTAAATGAATTTTAAATAAACAAACAAATTTTCAGATACATCTAATGTAACAAATTCTAGACTCAATTTTTGCACAATTTTCTAAACCTAAAATATACTGATCTTAATTCTAATAGCAATGTGAAAACTCATAGCTTACCTGAACTAGGCATCGCCTGCAGAGTCCAGCTTTCACAAGAGACTTAGCAACCCATCTAGCGGCATAAGCAGCAGATCTATCGACTTTGCTGGGATCTTTCCCGGAGAATGCTCCTCCTCCGTGCGCTCCCCAACCGCCATAGGTATCAACTATAATTTTTCGCCCAGTGAGACCAGCATCACCCTTGACATACAGGAATAAATAATTTACCAAATATAATTTATTTTCACATCACAACATTTCAATTTCACTTGTACAGTGCTCCAACACAAAACTACAGAATTTCATGAAGTTGTTTTTTAAGAGAAACTGATCTTTATATTGAGTCACACTAAAAGAGATACTATGAATCCTAAGAAAATCAACAAAATGGATATGATTCAATAAATGCAGTAGATAAAAATAGAGCAGAGAAATTCAATTTCAGACTGTCCTCAAATTTGTGTCTTAAAAATAAAACAATGAAAAGAGTTTTAGCAGTATAATGGAAGCTGCACAAAATTGTAGAGTACATAGCACAATCATAAATGATGACATGTGAATCTATTTTATTTTCTGAAATTTTCCAACAACACAATGGGTTGTTCATTATTATTTATCCCTTCATAAATTCTTCCTTAAAATAATGTTTGTTCAATTTTTATGAATAATCATTTGTTGCTAGCTATATAATTAATCATTTTTATTCATTTTATTCAATACAATCATTATCTTGATTAACAACTGCAACAGAAGTCACATTATGTTTCACATAATATGCAGGAATACAGAATTTATTATTTAATAATCCTTTACTGTAAACAGAAAAGATTAACATTTACTTATAGGGAAAAGATCAAAACTACAACAGAAGCAGCAGTATTGTAATCAAACCAACATCAGCCTTTCTGCCAAGAGCAACTTTAGTTGTTCTCAGCAATAAAGCTGTTATTTATCAAATGAAAAAAAAAAGGGTGCTTACATAGTAAAGCAACCATCTTGGCACAAACCGGCAATTTTTTAAATTTTCTTTAAAAAAAAAAAAAAAACTCCAACTGTGGATATTTAGCATAAGGTGGCAAGCATTATCAATATACGCCCCCCCCTCAAAAAAAGTTAGGTATTAAAAAAATAAACCAATATTTCCCCCAAAATCCTTAACTAAATTTTATGGCTGTTCTTTGCACTTTGTACAAAGCTATCTATTTTCAATAAAAAATCATGGTCAAATTAGACAAACTTCGCATTGAGCACCTGTTATCCAAACACCTGTTATCATTTCTTTCAGAGATTTTGCAGCAAAATACTGTATTCCTCCAGAAATTTTAATGCAGTTTTGTTTCATTGCTGGAAAACTCCAAAAGCAATATTTTAAAACTGAGTTAAAGGTATAAGATGTCACAAATTGTCAATGAAAACTGCTGAAGCTTGGAATACAGCAAAAAATAATGCATACGAAAAATGACGACACTGCTTGACTGAAGGGTTGTTTATGATTACAGCTGACAGCGTTGGCCACATTCTGAAAATCTCGCAACTTTTATTAAGGTGTTTGAGATAACATGCAAGTACCGGGAAGGAAAAAAACCCCAAAACAATACAGATACAAAACACGATTTAATTAAGATAACAGTGTTATTAATAACTTATTGCTACTCATATTTAAACAAAGAATATCAAGTTAAATATATTACTATACAATTAGTTAACATAATAATAAGCATAATACGAATCACACTTAAAATAATATTTGAATGCGACTCACCATTGGCCCACCCATAACAAATTCTCCGCAGGGATTAATGTGGTAGATTGTTTTATCATCTAGATATTTCGGAGGAATGCTATGCTTGATCACTTTCTCCATCACTTCTCTCCGCACAACATCCAACGACACATCCCTCGTATGCTGAGTAGATACTACTACAGTATGGACACGTACTGGCATGGCAGCACCATGTTTAAAATAATACTCACAAGTAACCTAAAAGCAAATTTAAAACATTTAATCTAAATTCAAGATTTAACAGTTTAATGGAGAAGGCATTTGCTATAGAATGAATGTTTTCATAGACCATAAACAGTTCCACTTGATTCCGATCTTCAGCAGAGGGAGTATAGCGAACGGAAGCAAAAACATTGCAAATGAAATAATCTGATTTAGAGTTGAATGCATATTCAGTGATTTATATTTTCAAATGATTTCAGTGTAATATGCACGACAATAAAATTTAAAATAACCATCAATCTATGGTTTTGGGCTATTTTATTATTACTATTTTTTAAATTATGTTGATGAAAACCATAGAAAAAAGGAAAAAAATATTTATCAGAATACTTTTAAACACAAAAATTAATGTGAACATAATTGTGTGGAAATAAAATTAGAAATGTATTGTTTACAAATTAAAAAATAAATGTAAATACTTATTGATTAAACATCAGATAAATCTTCATAAATGACTACAAATTTCTCCAATATTGTAAAACATTTCAGTACATAAAAAGTAATCAGAAATACTACTTTGAAAACCACTTGGGGAAAAAATAGAATCTACACAACTTTCATAATGACTTAATAAGATGTGGAACTCTGAAATAGCATTAAACATAAGTGCTAACTACCTCTAAAGGATATTGAATAAATATTTGTGTCGAAAAACAGATACTGAAATCAATTCTAAAGTTCTAATAAACATTCATTTCTTAAACCAGAAAATAAGAATGAATATTTATGAAAAATTATAAAATACACAAAAAATATTTATGAAAATTAAAAATTATTAATATTCTGTTATGATTAAATTCAAATAAAATCCTGAAATATAAGAACAGAAGTTTCAAAATGAAATTCTGATATAGCTCTAAAATTCCAGTAATTAATTTAAGTACATAAAAATTGCATTAGAATATGATATATGCAAGAATAAGATATTTTATTCTAAAATTATTTTTTTCCATTTTGATTAGCTAGACAACAGGCATTTTTATAGTACAGTACAAAGTCTGTAATTTGGACTTGTCGGGACTTCAGCGATTCCGGATTATAGATCATCAATTTAAATCTGGTAAGATGGCATGCAGAAGTTATACAATTAAAAATATAAAACCCTAATTTATGAAATAAAGAGAAATTATGATCTAAAGGGTATCAAAATTTACAAAAAAAAGTTAATATTTATTTGTTTACTTTATTAAAAATTTCTTTCAATGTAAGCTGTTTAAGTTGCTTCGTTTTTTGTGCTAATACTCTCTCTTTAATTCTATAAACAGAGATAATTTCTTGTTTGGTTACAAAGTTCCACTGTTCAAGTCCTGTAATTGCTGTGTGAATAATGACTAACTTGTTAATCGAAATTTTTCGTTTTCAATAACCTCTCTGTCACTTTCGTCACTATCGGAAGTGTTATTTTCTGAATCTAAAACCATACTACAGATTTCGCCATCAGTTAATTGATTGATGATTGGGGGGCATTGTCGTTGCAATGAAAAACGTTATATCATCTTCATTTGTTACCGCTTCTCAACATTTCTTTCCAAAATCCAATAACTGGAAAATTTCACCTTTAGTTTGCGATGTCCGAAAACCTTCAAATTCGCGTCTATTATCTTCATCGTCCTCACCATGAAATATTGTAGCTGGCCATAAATTATGCCAAGCATTTTTTAACGAATCTGGAGACACATCCTTCCACGATCTTGCGATGCTCCACACAGCAGATTTTATGCTAAAAATTTTCAAAAAGTTTTGCCATTGTTCAAGAAATTTAACATATATTTTAAAAATGCTACTTTATATTTGCATTTCAGCATGTGCACTATTCCCATATCAGGGTTGCCACTCAAACAGGAGAATGAAATTCCCTGACTTTTCCAGGTGCGTTTTAAGAAAATTCCAGTCTATCCGCGTAATGTACGTTGGCTACGCTAAGAGGTAAATTATGGTATTACTTGTATTTGTGTAGCAAATTCACTTAATTATTCAATAAATCACAGAGGACATTTATTCTTAATTATTCTTGGTATACTTTGTTTGATAATTTGTTTACTTTCCACTTAAAAAACTTAATAAAATTAAGATATATACATTGGATAACAAATGTGTATGTTTTATTTAATTATTACTCATGATCATCACCAGCTCAACACGAGGCTAATCCGGTCCTTATAAATCACAACGCAATGCTAAATAGTTAGGTTAGATTTTAGGTAAATTTAATTTGTGTGAGGTATGTTCTTAAAAAGCACCTTAACACTTGAAAACACAAAATATAATTATAATAGTTGTTGTTTTCTCCATTGAAGATTGAGATTAGAATCTTCCCAATCTGGAATAAAATAAGGCTTTTTTTTGAAGACATTCTGCAGCTAAACGAAAGAAAGAAATCTATTTTAATAAATTGAGGTATTTTATATTTATTTCGCAGCATACATAAGAAAAAAATCTGTGCATTAAATTTCGTGATGGTATGTCATCATACTGCTAGAATTAATTTCAAGATTATGCCAGAGAAATTTCCTAAAATTTAGAAATATTATTTACTAATAATAATAAATTTAGAGGGAAGAAGCATCATTAAATTATGCGAATAACATAAAAATAAAGATAATTACTTAAAAATTGAATTAGAATAATCAACGATATTTTTAGCGAATATAGTTTAATTACATGGTTAGCCTAGATGACAGATTACTATTTTTTATTTTACTGCAAAATGGCAAGGTATTTATAAAAAGAAAAGTTTAAAAAGATTTTGCGGTAAAATTCTAGTGTACGGTAAGGCTTGGCACGATTTTGAAAATTGGTCGATAAGACCAAAATGACCCGTTTACTGCGCATCATCATGTCGCCAAATCCATACATGGAGATTATTTTAACCAAAAAAACGTCTATGCAAAGAATCTCTAATTCTTTGGTCTATGTAAAGAAGAAAATTTTCCATACAAGTAAAATGCTATTACGCGCGATAGAATGCGGAGGGAAAATTTGCCAAGGAATTTGGCGACGGAACCTGGCGGCCAGAATTTCCTTCTCCGCGATGTGTACCGGAAATTGAGAAACGTGTTAAGAAGAAACGTTTCTTTGACAAAAGAAAGCTACGAAAATCCGTTTTTAAATTATTGTGAAAAATCCAAGAAGAAACGTTTTATCAAAGGACGTTTCTTCTTGGATTTTTCGCAATAATTTTAAAAACGGATTTTCGTAGTTCCCCCCCCTGAAAATTAGTAACCCATGAATTAATTTACTTGCGCCAAAAAATATTTTCTTTTAAATTTAGAGTTTAACTACTTGCGCTAAGACTAAACTTCACGGTTGCGGTGCCGTGCGCTACAATATAGCAAGTGGTAACGTGTCTCATTTACGCCTCTCCGCATCTGCGAGTGCAATCCAGAGCTGTAACTCGAGAAATAAACAATCTCGTTGTTAGGCGACGTGTGCACCATGTTATTTTAATTTTTGTGATAAATGCTTATCGACGTGGTGTTCACGTCGCTCGCAGTTTGAGACAAAAACATCTCAACGTGCTTGGCACGTCTTTTTAGCGCAAGTGGTTAAAGAAATTTTAAAGGATATTCATTTAATGAACTCTTGATAACGTGACCTTTCGAACTTCGACACCGGTTTCCAGCTTTGGCGGCCAGATATATCACGCATGCACAGCTGTTTTCCCTCTATGATGGAACGGAGCCACGTCTGTTGCAGAGAGGTTTTCCTCTTTACAATACATATCTTTGATTCTAACCTCCATGGTACCGGTATACTAAGATTAAACCCATTTTGTTTATACGAGAACAGGTACTTTCTTTAGTTCATGAACTGCACATGCGATTCTCGAGGATACTGGAAACCAAAAGTTGCGGGAAACTTGCTTTGCCTTTCTAAAAGGCAATCAAATTGGAGCTGGGAAAATTGGCTCTATGCCAGCAGACACTCACGTGATAGGCAATTCGCCAAAAAGTTATCTCTTCTTCCGACGTCGGCGCAAAAATCGCTTTTTTGGCGGAATCATTGTATGAAACTTCCCTGACTTTTCCAGATTTGATTTGACAAAAATACTTAAATTCCCTTCCCTGACTTTTCCCTGAATTTTTGGTCAATTTTCGAATTCCCCGACTTTTCCCGTTCTCCCGGTTTTCCAGGTAGCGTGGCAACCCTGCCATATCCATAGGCTGAATGATGGACGTACAATTTAGAGGAAAGAGTAGTACAGATATGTTATCTTTCACTAAAACTTTAGGAGAAGTATGAGCTGAACAGTAGTCTATAATCAGGACTATTTTGGGATTATCGGGTAAACCAACCGAATTAAAATGTTGCCGAGCCTTGAGTATAAAATGATTTTCAAACTAATAATTTGTTAACACTTGTGTCATCCATGCTGTTTTATTTGCACGATATATAGAGTGGAAAATCATTATTCCTTTAAATGCTCGAGGTCGTGTATGTTTTCTGATTACGAAAAGTTTGCTCTTGTGCGTTCCTGCCGCATTTGCGAGCGCTAAAATTGTTAGTCTTGCTTTGGAATCTTTGACACCAGTTGGAGCCTTTTCTGTAGAGGTTGCCAAGGTATTTCGCAGTACAGTACGACCCCGCTTAACGCTGTTTCGTTTAGCGCTCTTTTATTTCAACCCGGGGATTCTCCGAAATTGTGCGCAGCGCTAGGTTTCCAAATAACATATCCGAAACAGTGTAGTTGTGTTTCTTGCTTTCTGGATGCATTTTTATCATTTGAAACATTTGTTGACATTATTGTAAGTTAAATTTGTATAATACTATAACGATTGAATACAGTGACAAATATTATGATCTTTAGTTTTATCATGGGTGATAAAAAACAAGAAAAGAAAGCAACCAGAAAAGCATTTCACTGGAAACTCAAATGCAAGTGATTAGAAGATTAGATTCTGGTGAACATCAATCTCAAATTAGTGCTGCATTGATTTTGGGAACTTCAACAATAAGGACAATTTTTAAGAATAAAGAAAAAATACTGTCATCGGCAACTGCAACTACGTCAAGCTCTGCAACTAGAATTACCCATACTAGAAATAACATTATAGAGGAAATGGGAAAACGACTGTCTATATGGACTGACGACGAAATTGAACGCAATATGCCATTAAGCCAATCTATCATAATGCCTTCTTGACAAAAAGGCAGAAAATTGGAAACCCAGAATAGACTGAATGATCTGACTGAGAATTTTATTTGTTTTAAAAGTATATGCGTTTAATATATTGTTTTTATTTTTTGTAAGAAATAAAATGTTTGATTTTATTTTTTATTAAAAAAAACATTATTAAATTTAATGCCTAACCATTTTTTATCCGTCTTCCCCTAACCCCATTATTTACATGTTAAGATAGCCTCGCTTAGCGCTGTTTCGCATTACGCTCTACTTTGATGGAACATATCCCCCGGTTTAAGCGGGGTCTTACTGTACATATCGCCAGAAAAGACCAGTTTCATCAGCATTGTAAATTTGTTCTGGAGATAATTGTTCACTAGTAATCAGTTCAATGAATTCATCTGCAAATTATTCAGCAGCGATTTTTAAATTTGGTTAACCAACCTGTCGAATATGTGCACTCAATGTTTAAGTTCATTTTCCTCATGAAATATTTTGGCTTCAGCCATTAGCATTGGACCCGTCAACAGCACATCCTCGCTGCGACGCTATCCGACCCATTCAAGCATCGCTTTGTCATGATCATCACTTTTAGCATAACAAACACTTTTTCTGTTATTCATTGTAAGTGGATTGTCGGAATCCACAAAAAATTCAAAAAGTTCCTTTTTCTTTTTGCTTATGTCATATACAGTTGACTTTCCAATGTCATACTCCTCACATAATTTTGAGACGAATATGCCTTTATCTATTTTTTGCAGCAATTCCACTTTTTGTTTGATGGCCATCGAAACATGCTTTCGCTTTGTAGATTCTTTGGCAGCTCCAGAATTGGAAACTCTTTTTGACATAATCGAAAGTTCAAGCTTAATTTTTATAAAATTGATCTAACAGTCTGCAAAAAATAATAAGCCGGATACAATTAAAAGATTAAGGAACAGCGCAACCAGCAACATTAACTGAAATGCCTTAGAATCAATCAGTAAAGATAATTTTAGCCTAGCTTATACCGTCCATTGTACATTAAACATGCATGCGTAAAGCATATTAAAAAAAAAAAAGGTTTGCGATTTTGAGATCCGGATTACAAATCATTCCGGATAATGGACGTCCGGATTACGGACTTTGTATTGTATTTTATTTACTCGCATTTTATCATGGCACTTAATCAATAATTTTTTATATATTACCAAATTTGTTTTATTTTACTATTTTTTATATATTACTATTTCCTATTTATTATCAATTTTAATCTGCCTTTCTAAATGTATAAAATGCTAATAGATTAGAAGAAAATTGTTATTAAAGAAAAAGAAAATTCTATTGTTTTTGTAGATGAGAACACATCTACCAACTTTTATTAATTTGTCATAACTCATACAGAAACTGTTCTAATTCTATGATCTTGCATATACTTAATTTTTTAAAAATCTCTCAAGTTTTTGTAAAAGTGCCAAAAACCCTGCCAATTCAGCTATGTTAACAAATATTTGGGCTATCTTTTGAATTCCTCGTATGTCTCGATTTTAAGCCCTCCATGAAACCAACAGTCTATGTGCACTTTTCTATTTTGAAACAAAGAACTGAATCACTGCAGTGTTCTTCCCATAATGTATCACCATAATTTCAGCTGCGCATGCTCAAGTATAAACAAACCAATTGTAATAAATCATACAGTAAAGAAGCAATCTTCAGAATAGTTTTACCTCATCAATTAATACTAATTTGCAGAAAACAAGCCACATGCAACAGAGCGAAACACTGCTAATAATACACTGCCGCCTGTTAAGAATACTGTCTGTAATCCAAAATATTGACTTCATCCATTATAGCTTAACAAAGGAACTACTGCTTGATGCTTCAATGTCTGTTGGATTTGAGGACTAAAAACTATTGAACTCATGATTTGATGAAATGTTGGGAATTAGTTTTCTGCCTTTAGATCCTGTTATGATCTTGAAACTATGCATCTATTTTAAGACTTGAAGATGTCTCGTCAATGGAGAACATGTAATTTTTTTTTTTTTACAAAAACTTCTGAACCACAGCGTTGAAATATTTTTCAATCTACTTTTGACTTCGCACTTTGACTTCGATACAAATACTTAGAATAAATATTTAAGGAAACAAGCTTGGTGCTATCTTTTTTGACCTTCCTATAAGTTAAGTTAAAAATATATTGAATGAAACCTCTTACAGAATTATGATCAAATTTTTTTCGTAATGGAAAATCTATACAGTCAATGCACAAAACATTTCAAATCTGTACCTGTGTTTTAGAATCTGGTCCAGCCCAAGGAAACGTCCCGTCTTTCCTCAAAGCGGCAAGTCTGGCATTTAACTTGTGGGCAAGCACTACAGTCAATGGCATACATTCTTCTGTTTCATCAGTTGCATAACCAAACATAAGACCCTAAGGAAATATAACTCTTTGGAATACAATTATGCAAGTACTAATCAAAAGTAAAGTGATTTTTATAATTAATTAAATGAACAATTTAGAGTATTAGGCTAGACAAAATAAGAATCACCAATAAATTTTTCAAAAATTGATACTGAATAGAAAAATGTTAAAGAAAAAAAGTCTCTTCCCCCATCTCACAAATAATACAATCCATTTAAATTTAGACAAGACGCTACTTTGTAATAAATTATAATTGTACATGTCACGAAAGCCCGAGTTTTTTTTCTACTGAAAGCAAAATTGTTCTGCAGCTTAGATCAAAAATACAATGTTTAAGCCAAACTTGCCAACCTCCGACACTCAAAAATCAGAAAAATTTTCTTAATGACAAAACGATTTTTTAAATAATAAAAATATGTAGAAAGAATATATTTTTGATAATGAATTAACTTTAAATAATAACTAATTTATATCAGTCCAGTTATTACTTCTTAAATGCAAAAATACATAAAAAACAGTTTTACTATTTGTACCTTCTAATTACAGAAAAATACAGCAATCAGTTTCCCTAATCATTAAATAATGCTTTAACCAGGTCGCTAATGATGGCAAAATATAGCATATAATAAATGCAAAAAGCTTTGAGGTCTAAAGACAAAAACAGATATTTGTTCTTTACAAGATAAAAATAATTGGAAAATGTGTCCCTTGTCAAGCATTTTTTTTTTAATTTTGGAAGTTTTACGCTTATATTTTGAGAATGGCCAACTAAATTGTTTGCAGGCGCAGAAATTACTTAATTTTCCGCACACCTATTTTGAACAGTGTAAGTAATAACTCCATTTAATTGAGGTAATTTATAACTTTCAACAGAGCCTTTTATCTTAACATTTAGAAGCATTTGCTTCTTTCATGAAAAATGCAAGAAGTTGGTTCGATTGGTTGAGGATTCTAGATAAACATTTCTCAGAAGATAACCAGCATGTACACACATATTTTTTTTTTTTTTTTTTTTTTTTTTTTTCTTTTTTCTTATTTCAGTATTATGCAGCTGTTGGAATTGTTTCAATTTTACTTTTTTTTAAAAAATCTTTCCAAGCTAATAATAAATATGTACAATGTGATCCACTCTAATTGGCAAAGCTGATCCTTTTTTAAGTACTGCTAAATTTAAGAGGTGACAGGTGTATTTCATAATTTGCAATTTTTTTTTTTTTTTTTAAGATGCTTGCAACATTAGTCTTCAAGGCCTACCATTCCTGGTGGATTGTCAGCACTTCGCAAAGATTCTGAATAACTGCACTTTCTTAAAATTTTAATAATTAGCTGTGCTATATATTAAAACCTGTCAAATCTCCTTCCAAAGTGAGGACAGAAAGTAAACTACACCCAATTTCTGAAGACTCTGAATTAAAAATAAACAACTAGATACAGTTTTGCATCAGTATTATTGCTTCCATCGGTAAAGAAACAGAATGGAACTATTTTTATGCAATCAACAAGATTTATTTTTATTACCTATTTTTTCAACTCACTTCTTCTACATTTGCAGTTGTTTTTTTCCCTTGCACTTGAGTATTTCTTAGTAATTTTACTGAACATTACACCTGATTAAGAAATCCCGCTGACCATGAAAGCTGGTAGAGGTGTCACCAAATTTGCATTGATTATACTGGCAGAAGTTTAACGAAAGAGAATACTCTTTAATTTTGTTACCAGTCTCATTTGTCTAATAGCAATCAGCAAAAAATCTACAATATTTATCATGGCAAGGAGTCAACTGCGCCTGCCTTCGGCAACAGCTTTGAGCATCTATAAGTGACAGCCCGATTCCAGCACAGTTCTGCCCCCAATTGTGAGAGAGAGACCACCCCGGGAGAATGAGTCCCAGGGTAACTTGCAATATTTTTATTACTTTGCCATGAAACAAAAATAAGCTTCTGTACTAAAATGAGAAAATTTTTTGCATGTTAAAAAAAAAAATTTAAATGTACCTGATCACCTGCTCCAATTTCTTCTTCTGCCTTATTCATATGAACACCAGAGGCAATTTCTGGACTTTGTTGCTCAATGGCAACTAAAACATTGCATGTTTTGTAGTCAAAACCTGAACAGATTAAAAATGAAAACTTTCTAAATTTCCAGATTCATTACAGTAAGCAATAAAGTTAAATGATTAATTTGCATTATGTTTCACAAAAAACATCATAATTTTTAAAAATCAAACTAATATCACTGTTATAAGTTAAAACGAAATTAATAATTATGAGAAATTCAATTAATAAGCACAAAATTCCACCATTCACATGTGAAAAAATATGTCAGTTTTTTCCAATATATGTCTCATAAATTTCTTTGCTACTGTATAAAGAAAGCCAGACACAAAGATTAATTTTTGTGGATTGTTTTTTCACAGATAACACCACAAAAAATTACAATATTAGTTTTATGTTGGCTATGCTACATAGGAGTTTTCCAAATACATGAATCATTTTATCTAATGAATAGTTTTATTACTCTTGTTAATCTGTTATATTTTCAACATTCATTATAAATTCCAGTAACAAGCAGAAGGAATTAGTTATGGAAGTTGTTGGATGGAAAGAAAAGTTTGCAGCAGCCCCCCCTTTTTTTAAATGCAATGCAATGTTTTTTTTTAAATCATATTTATCTTACAAATGTTAAATGCACAAAACTAAAACATTCAATATTGCAGGGTTATAACTAACCTAGGTGCACAATTCTTCAAACTGAATCAGCAGCCTTTGAATGTCAAGCTACTTAAAAAGTGAGATAAGGAAAGAGAATTTAGTTGATAATTTACTCTGCATTTTTTGTTAAAATACATTTACCTATTGATGCAGTAAAATTCAAAATATTGTCAAAGGCAGATTCTCAATTCAGTTATTTTGCTTTGGACAATTTGAAATAAGTAAAGTTTTATTTTCTTTCTTAAAATGTGTCTATTTCATGATTAACCAGACGCAAAACAAAAACTACAGATCTATGCAATAATAAATAGGCTTACTTTAAATACATAAATCTTTTTCTAAATATAAATTGTAATATTAAATTCCTTAATAATGCATTTGAAATCTCACAATCTATTACGGGATAGCAAGCTCTAGCTGAATCAGCCTTAGAGACAGCAAAAAACCAAAACGTTGCCATTGGTTTTTAGGAGGAAGTAAACCCTCAATTTTTTTTTTTTTTTTTTTTTCTTCAGAAAAAAGTATAATACCTTTTGTACAACTGTCATAACCAATACTTTTGACAGTTTCTCGCACTATTTTCTGGTAATCAACGGTAGCTTTGGAAGTTATCTCCCCGAAGATCATAACCATTCCAGTTTTAGCAGCAGTTTCTGAAAAGATGTAGAAATAACAAGCAAAGTGAAACAAACTAAAGAAAAACATTAAATCACAATACAATTACTATTAAGTATGTTTACAATGATTTTATGAAAGAACTAACTCTTCAATGACCATATCCAATCCCAAAATGAACACAATATATTTTGTTTAAGATGATTTTTTAAAAAATGCCCTCTACATTTCAAAAACATCCATAGTAAATAATGGGTCAAAGATAACACTACTGTCTCAATTGGAAATTAAAATTACATTAGAATTGCTTCAGTTTCTGCTATTTAACAAAACTAATTTTTACTGTATTGGCAACATAGGTTTTCATTATTTTAATACAGTGACAGAAAGGAATTACATTTTTTACAAAGATGTTACAGAAATCATCCTTCCCACAAATGATTATTTCCTAATAAAATAACTTTTTAAAAGTTAAGACAAATTCTTAAGCTGAATTATTAATTATAACAGAAATAAATTTCATAAACTTCAAAAAGTACCAAAGATATTACAATAAATTTTGAATTAAAAATAAAGGAACAACCTTGATTGCATTTACAAGCATATTTTATACGTAGCGTATTCGGAAACTAAGTATCGTCGCAGCGCTGTGGTAGACGTCCCGCGCATGTGCACTTGTCTTTCTTGTTCACCGACTTTCAATTGTTGCCATTTTGGTTGCTCTATGTTGTGTTTTCAGTTTGCTGTGCACATTCAAAATATTTAAGACAATTAGTTCTCCTGCTGACTGTGAGATTCGTGATTAAATTTTTGAACACGAGGAATGTTAAACCGGCCGAAATTTATCGTCAAGTGACAGAAGTTTACGGTGAATACGCGATAAGTGATGATGGTGAGAAAGTGGGTAAGAATGTTTAATGCAGGTCGAACAAATGTCCACGCCGAGGCTCGGAGTCATCGGCCTTCTGCTGTCATCAATTATTTGGTAAGGAAAGTTGATGAAGCAATTCATGAGAACGACGCTTCACAATGACAACTCTTTCAGAGGCATTTCCACAAATTTCACGTAGCGTTTTGTTCGAAATTGTGTCTGACCGCTTGAATTATCGCAAACCGTGTTCCCGATGGGTTCCAAAAATGCTCACTGATGTTCACAAAACAAAGCGACTTGGTAGTGCCCTGACATTTCTCATGCGGTACAGTGATGAGGGAGAAAACTTTTTAAACCAAATTGTGATAGGTGATGAAACTTGGGTGTGTCATTTCACACCAGAATCGAAACAACAATCGATGGAGTGGAGACAGTCATTCTCCGAAAAAACAAAAGTTCAAAGTGACAATGTCATCACAAAAATCATGTGCACTGTTTCTGGGATAGGAAAGGCGTTTTGCTTACGAATTTCTTCCCAGAGGTGAAAACCATTAATGCGCACAATATTGTGAGCCTTTAACAAAAATAAGGTGTGCCATTCAAAATAAACGAAGAGGATGCTCAGTAAAGGAATTGTGTTGCTCCATGGACAATGCGTCCCCACACTGCTGGTGTCACTCAATCGTTAATCCGACAGTTTTCATTGGAGCAGTTCGATCACCCGCCGTACAGCCCGGACTTGGCGCCGTCCGACTCACTTGTTCCTGCAAATGAAGGGCGAGCTTGGTGGCAAGCGCTTTGGATCTGACGATGACACGAAAAATGCTGTGGAGTCGTGGTTATCGAAACTGGTGGGAAGTTTCTTCGACGATGGTATACAAAAACTGGTCACCCGCTATGACAAGTGTTTGATCATTGGTGGAAACTCTGTTGAAAAATAGTTTAAGACATGTATTTTCATGTAAAAATAAAATTGGATTCGATAATTAAATTAGAAAAATTATTTTACTATTTTTTTTTTTCAAAACGGTACTTAGTTTCCGAATACGCCTCGTATCAATACACAACACTAACATGAAGGTTTTAAATGTGTAACATAATAGTTAAAATATGTAAAAAATTCAGGGTTCATACACACTTTTGCACATGGAAATTAAATACTTTTAAGGACTATCAATTAAAAAAATTGACCTATCTAGCAAATAGGAACTCAATAAATTAAAGCAATTATCTACACCCAAACTTCACTTTTATAAATTGTAAGAATAAAAAGAAATCTGTCAGTAGGATACATTATTATTAAACATATTCTAATATTTAACTTAATTATAAAACAAATTAAAAATAAAATTAACTTTAGACATTTTTTGAAGTATTTAGGATTAAATTATAAAATTTCTTGAAGCATATTTTACACTTATAACAGTCCCATATATTTTAAAGATCGATGGCTTTTTCTTTAAATTTTATTAACTGTTAACTTTATTTTGATTAGCTTTTAATAACTCATTTCATCATGTACTCACTTAGTCAAGTGATACATGCAAATTTTATGTTAAGTGGCATAAGTTAAAGTGTGAAGTAAAACAATAATCAGCATAACTCATAACAGAAGGTTTGTTGTTGCTACTGCAGTCAGTTGCTTAGAGACAGAACCACTGATCAGAACAGTTGTGAATGCTTGATGTTGATATGCATTAAAAATCAGTTGCACTTTCATCTGACGCAATTAATGTCATAACTTTATGTAGTCTTGCTGAAGTTGTAACAGCTGAAATATACAGTATTTAATACAAAGTTCCAATTAGCCACTGCAGTATCAGCGATGATAAGTTGTTTTGCATTATTTTAAGTTTCATTAGTCGTAAGGAATAAATTTTTAGGCTAAATTTTACATTTTTGTGTTGTATCTTGCATACACAATAAGGATTAAGGAAAGGTTACAACTCTTCTTAACATGTTTAGCACAGCGCCGGTCCCTACTTTCCGTGTGGCCAGCATCTGTCCCTGGGAAACAGCACTGGAATTTTTGTTTGGCTGGCATCTATCCTGCATAGTTCATAGACTTACATGGTACAATTACAAGTTTTGTTTTTTTATTCCTAAAAAATATCCATTAAAAAAGCACCAAGAACAATCCACATTAGTTTTAATCTATGATATTGATTCTAAAGTATTAGCATAACTACACATTAAAAGGTATAAAAAATTGTTTTGTAGAAACAACAATAAAATGGTTATGCTTCTTTTTAACTTGAAAATTTTCTATATTTTAGCTTACTCTAAAGGCCCTTATTTTCGCAAGCCCGTCGTAGTCGCGAAAGTTTAAGCCCCGCAAAATACGTTTTTCCCGCCTCAAATAATAATAAAAAATCAGAAATTTTTCACTTACCCAAAATTTAATGATTTGTTGTACAGTTACAAGCTTTTTCTTGACAACTTTCTTTTTTATAACTATTTTTTGAATAATATACAACTACATTTCTTGAATATAAAACATTAAAATTAATAGTAGGCAGCTCATTAACTTAGAATACTATTCATACCAGTTTATTTGAAGCCATTTAATATTATATCATGTTTGGCTTCAATAAGGATTAAGGAAAGGTTACAACTCTTCTTAACATGTTTAGCACAGCGCCGGTCCCTACTTTCCGTGTGGCCAGCATCGGTCCCTGGGAAACAGCACTGGAATTTTTGTTTGGCTGGCATCTATCCTGCATTAGCTGTTACAACTAATACCGTTAAATACGCGCACAAGCCAAGAAGCGTGATTCAGTTTTAGTCATGATATTCGCAAGTCCACAGATTCTTTTTCCTCTAGAAATTAATTGAAGCTCATTAGAATATCACTCAATAAACTCATTCTTGAGCAAACGCTTGAACTCGCCATTCAGACGAGAACGGGGGTGGGGGCGACTTTTCGGACAAAAGGAAGTTTCTTAAAATGCTTTATGCAAAAGATGTACTTTTGCAATTTTTCAACTTCCGGTTCCGTTCCTATAAATTTCGCAAATTTTTTAGCTCGCGAAATCACTGATATATTTATTTTCATGAAAATTACGGACTGCGAAAATAAGGACCTTTACAGCATTTACATTCATTTCTCTCTCTTTAGAATCTTTTCTAAGTTTACTTGTTCCAATAAACAAATCAATGTTTCCACTAGTCTGTGCTTCACCTCCTAATTTAACGTTTAAAAATTTGTATCTTTGAAGAATAATATTCTCTCTATATAAAATCAATTTCTGTTTTAATGACGTTCCACTTATTTCAGAATTTTCAGATTTATTTAAAAGTTTTTTGTTATCTAAAGAACTACTTGTACTTTGAAAGTTTCAAGGAAGCTAATTTCTTTTAATAATATGAGCACTGAAAAGAGATATGAAATTATTTAACCTCAAAACTAGCACCAGAACCTATGTGGCAGAATTTTTAACTTATAACAGATTTTTCCATATGCAGGACACTTTAGATATTCATGAGACGTCTCATGTTTAGAACAAATTTGATCACTTTTATCTCAATATTCCTGCCTTTGGATATCATTATTTTATGGTTACTTAGTTTCTTTTTCAGCCGCCCAGATGGATAGTGGTTAGGAAAACCGACTGCAATACCAAAGGGAACGGCTTGGGTTCAAATCCCGATGACATGGTTGTATTTACCCGTCCCCTCATTGGAGGTAAAGATGGCTCAACTAAAGGAGGTAAAGGTGACTCCATAATAAAATTACCACCGTTTCTGGCTTTAGCAGTGGCCAACGTCTGTGGACAATTTAAGCCTGCCACTGGAAAGAAAAAGAAAAAAAAAAAGTTTCCTTTTTCACTATGTTTATAATACAACAGTTTTTATTAACTCTTACTTGATGTGCATTTATTTCTGCAGATCTGCATACATCAAGAGCTTTTTCTAATGTTAATTCTGCTTCATGCAACAATCTTTGCTCACATTACATCATCTTTAATACCCCAATCAATTTTATCCTTTATCATGACTATCTGTAAATCATGCAAACTTGCATGATTTAACAGATAGTCTGATAAAGGATAAAATCTAATAAAGGATAAAAACACTTCCGACACCCTATAAAATAAAGGTGCATTTTTAACTGTTTAAACTATTTATTTATATGCCTATAACACTGCAATACAAATGTAGTTATATTTTTACATGCATCCGAACTGTTGCCATTCACAAGTTACTAAATGCTGCCATTTACAAATTACTAAATACTACAGCACTGAGGTATGAATGGCACACTGTGACATACATGATGAATCTTGTAGTTAATTGTTGGTTTTAAATTTCTTTGCTTTCTTTGATGTCTAATAGTCTTTATCTAGTAGAAAGATAAGAAAGGGAGGATAAATATATTACGAGAAATTATTCTGGTAGGTCTGTAAATCTTGCCTTCCGAGACACAAGGTCTAAAATCCAAAGAAACATTATCCCTACCAACTCTGTAAGAGCATCAAGAGAAAATTGATACACATTTAAATATTCTGAAACAATTATATATATAAAAAAACTCTTATAAAGTGAAAAATTATTTTAAAAAGGACAAATTAAATTAATTTTTAAATAATTACAGTAGCCTTTTTGTCTTTTCTAAGAAGTGCTTCAGTAACTCCACTTGATAGCATTTATTAACTTGCTTATTTTTCAGAATCAAAACATTTCCAAGTCGTCAAAATGAACGTATTGCGTGCAGTGCCAAATTTAACACTGCATAATAATCGAACTCGTATCCCCAAATGGGAAAAGTTGTTTTTGATATAATATTTTATGAACTTTACATTAGCAAAGAATTACTTAGAAATTTGTATATTTCAACTGAACCAGGGCCTTGTTCTAAAACTTGAATATCTACAATTTGTATTATGAAGTAGAAAAGAATTCAAACATTCACCCACCAGAAACGTATTTGTCAATGCATCACCACAATAGATTCTTCCAAAATGTTAATTCGCACTCAAAATGGCAGTTGTAACAAATGTCAGATCAGGAAAATTATGGATCTTTTGACAGTTTTGCCTGAAATTAAGGACTTTTAAGGACTAAAAATCATTTGCAAAAAAACCTATGGGCTTTTAAGGACCATACAAACCCCGAATTCAAGCCAGTATGTTCATTTTATTTGATTTTTCATTAATTAAAGTTTGCATTATTTTAGGTCATTTGTTAAGAGACTTATTTTTCAACATCTTTAGAAATGAATCCATTGATCTGAGAAAGTATGATAATCAATAAATCAATTTCTATGAAGCACAAAAGTTTCGCAAAAGCATCCGAAAGCTCTGGATAACAAGCCGTTAAGTTTCCTGCAGTATGTTATTGACTTACGAAGGCAAAAAAATTATTTACTGTTCCATACTGGAAATATTGATGAAACTCCAGTAATGTTTGATAGAAAAGAACAAAACTGTTCGCATAAAAAAATAGACCACGAAAAATCTCACCTTAACATAGTGCTTTTCTTCATAATGGATGGCACAAAAGTAAAACCCATGGTTACCTTTAAAAGAGAAACGATGTTGAAACTTAATTTCACAAATGGTATTTTCATTCATGTTCACAAGAAAGGATGGATGGACGAAAACAACACGAGATAGTTGATAAGAATGTTTGGCAAAAGTGTCCTGTTGCCTTTAACGAATCCAAAAAGTCTTTCAGTTTGGGATATGTTCAGATCCCATCTAACAAATAATAGGAAGAAATTGTTGAAAAAGTATAATACAGACATGACAGTTATTCCAGGCAGATTAATGCCATAGTTCAGACTTTAGATGTTTATATCAATAAATCATTGGAAGAAAATTTAAAACAACAATGGAATACGTAGATATTAGAAGGTGAAAAAATACTTACAAATGCATCAAGTCAGTCTAGAAATAGTGTGTCATTGGATAATAAAAGCACGGAATGAAATTAAATCTGACATAATTCAAGTCATTTAAAATCTACATTGAATGGAACATGAATATTTATTGATGGATCAGAGTTACAGCAATGGTGAACATAAAACAGAATTCGATGATATAGTGGATGGACAAAAATATGGAAACACCTTGTGAAATGCATGTTTGAAAAGAAAGATTGATTTTAATGAAATATGTAGGTGGCACTAGCGTTTTTGACTACTGACGCCACCTATACAACTTCGTAAATGTGCTAAACAGTTCAGTTGTTGTCGGAGTACTGTTACGTGAGGTTGTCATTCCATTATGTCAGCATTAACAGACTTCGATGTGGGCAAATTGTTGAGCACGTATGGTAGGTGCTCCCATAGCAAGATAGCCGATGTTAGTGTTTCAAGGTACTGTATCAAGATTTATTCTGCATATTTGAAAAGCGGAAAAACATCATCTGCTAAATCACAGCACGGCGAAAGTGTGTCCTGAGTGATCGTGACAGACGATCATTAAGAGCAATTGTGACGAAAAATAAGAAGACCACAGCTGCAAAAGTTACTGCTGAAATGAATGTTGTGTTACCGAACCCTATGAGTACCAAACCAATTAGAAGGAGCTTCATAAACAGGAATTGCTCGCCGTGCTGCAATCGAGAAGCCACTCATCATGATGCTAATGCCCGTAACAGGAAAAGGTGTGTTTAGTCAAGCCTGGACTATAGAGCAGTGGAAGCGAGTAATATGGTCTGACGAGTCTTCTTTCACATTGTTTCCCACTTCTGGCAGAGTTTACATCTGGAGAATGCCATCTCAAGCCTATAATACAGACTGCTTGTTGCCAAGAGTTAAACATGGCAGGGGTTCTGTTATGGTTTGAGCAGCCATATCGTGGTTCAATGCTAGCCCCATGATAAATGTGTCAGGGCACATGACTGCCAAGACTTATGTGAACATTTTGGCTGATCAAGTTCATCCCATGGTACAAACTTTGTTCCCCAATGGTGATGGTGTCTTCCAAGACGACAAAGCCCCTGTTCACACAGCTCACATTGTCTAGGACTGGTTTTCTCAACACGAGAATGAGTTGTCCCATCTCCCCTGGCCACCAGACCTGAATATTATCGAACCTTTGTGGTCTACATTGGAACGGAAAGTGCGTTCTCGTTATCTGAACTTGCCACCGTTTTGCAGGAAAAATGGTATAATATTCATTGGCAAACAACAGGAACTGTATTTATCCATTCCGAGAAGACTGCAAGCTGTTTTGGATGCCAACGGGTTTCCTACACCATATTAAGCAAAGAAACATGTTTTTTTAAAGGTGTTTCCATATTTTTGTCCAACCCCTGTATGTCTGAAGATAGAACAAAAGACAAATTTTTCATGTTATGCAATAACAACAATTTGTAAGTTCATAAGGATGTCATTTCTTGTAAATAAACAGCATTTAGATATATGTAGAAATCTTAATTTTTGTATACTCAACTCTACCTTACTTTTAAATCTCTCATTTTTATACCCAGCATGTAATGTGTACTTGTAAATTTCAATCTTTATTATAAAAACTGTTCCAACAATAGTGTGGCTTTTATGTTATGTATAAAAAGTACACACTCATCATTCAAAACATTTGATTGTTTTCATCCAGAATAAAAAATATAGCTTACCACAAGCAACTTTAGCATTTGGATCCTGTTCCAGATGTGCATCTAAAATGGCATCACTAATCTGGTCACACAATTTATCTGTAAAAAACCACATTTTTTATTTAATACAAAGGAGGAAAATGATAGAGCATTTACATTTAACATTATTAAAATTTCTTTACTAAGATTAAACAAAGGGATGAATCAGACATCAAATCAGTCGCATATTGATTATTTAGCTTAATTCTGATCACAAAATTTATTTTAATTAAATTCTGTATAAAATTAGCGGAAATCATGAGCAACATTTTTATACCATATGGAATGTTTTAAAAGTTACTGAATGTTAAAAAATATCAGATGTAAACAGTATGCAAGGGTTTATGGTAAACAGTAGTGCTGATATCAGTGAAAGGAAGGGTATTGTCAGATTATATTTGAAGAGTGAACTGAATGGCTCGATTAATCAAATTTATAACATAAAAATCTAGGATAAATCTTGTTACCATAAAATAGCTATAAAGTACAGTTTACAAAGTGAATCCAGAGACGAAAAGATAGCTCAAATAATTTGACTTCAAAATAAGGCATGTAAATGCCAGCGATTGAGAGGATTTAATATAACCAAACCTTCAATTTGGTGATAATATTCACTTCGGAAAACAAAGTGCATTTGACTCAGATTATGGTAAAAGAAACTCTTCAATTTCAGTATGCGTAAAATGGAATTTTTGAAGCCCAGTTTTAAACATTTTAGTGCTCCCTTGACCGTAAAGTTAATAAACAGTTGTTTAATATCAAAAGAAACCATAATAGAGCACAGAGGAGAAATATTTTTAAAGTTTATTAACGACTTCAAAAAAATTTTTTACGCTGTGAATATTGTTTGAAAGGTAAAGGAGAAAATACGGAAACTAAATATTTGGCCAAAGGAAACAATACTATTTTTAAGTTACGACACTGTAGGTAAAAAAGAAATTCGTTTTGAGGACTTTGGGGAGAGCATAAAACCTAGCACAGTTAGCAATAGGTGGAATGAGTGATTTTTTTTTCCTTAAACTGAGCTGAGAGTAATCCAAGTGGTTGATACCGAGTTAGCACATTCTTTGCAGAAAACATTTCAATGGGTCAGCAATGGAAGAGTTTTTGTTGTAATTTTTTGACATCGGAAGAGATTTCTCTGAATGCCTACAAATACTATTACCAAACAGTGAATGGCTATGAAAATTAGTATTTATTATAGACATCATAGGATATCCTAAAGAATTCCATTTAAAATTACAGAGAAAAGCAAGCTTGTATGTAAAACATACATGACCATACAGTCACATCACTGAAAATTTACACCGTTTGAAACACAAATCACATTAAATAAGTTTAACATTTTTTCATGCTGTAAAAAATTTCAAATATTAGCGAAATAACTATTTCTAAAACAATTCAAAGAAACATTTTTTGGGGGTTCTTAAACTGCAGTCAATAACAGTATTTTTCAGATCTTGATAGAAGTGCAAGAGATGTTTTCATATTTCAAAATACATTTGACTGTATAACTGATGAGCTTCAATTAGAAATGACTGATCTGCAAAATGATATGCTAGGAATGATGTTCAAAATTATATGCACAGAGATTTATATCTATATTTGGAAATATTTACCAAAGGATATTTTCAAAAATGCAAGTCATTATTAACAAAGGACCATTCACAAACAACATTAATGGCAGGAATCTTCGAGCTCCAGTATAATGAAATATCTCAGAAAACATTACTGAAATGAATTCACTTATTAATGTGACATAATGATAAAATAATTTTGAAACTGCTTCTCAAGTAAAGGGAAGGACCAATAGCTCCCCTTCTGCTTAATAGCATATTTTTTTAAAAAAAACATGTAGAAAATCACGCCAACTGATATTTTTTAATCATCGTTTTATAATCTGAAATTTTTTAAACTTTTACCAATATATTTTTAATTCCTGAAATTTTAAAATAATAGATGACAAATATTTTTTTAAAATTTTTTGAAAATTTCTCATTTAAAAATCTACATTGAATTCTGAGAAGATTACTTCGTCATGTTGTATTGTCATTCACAAACAGTGGGGGTATAAAATTTGAACTCTATGACTTATCAGGAAGTAGTTTAAACTGATGATCAACTTTTGATCGTACTGACAAACACTAACAGTAAAGAGAAGACAAAATTTTAAAAGAATGCAATATGTAATATCAATAATAAATCAGTAAACTGCCCAATTAATCCCTTAACAGCCGCGGAAAACGTACTAGATTCATTTCCCAGTGCCACGGTTTTTTACACAGGCACACGTAGTTATGCGATGTATTAGGGGGAAAATAAGTACATGTTTTACTTTCTAAAAACTATTCACTTTCACAAAATAAAGAATAAAAGAAAAAGTGAATGCAAAAAATTTAATGTTTTGAGTAAAAGTATAATAAAAATGATGTTTTTATAATAAAAAAGATCCCTAAAATGGAGTCTCGATCAATTCATTTTTAGACCAGTAATATCAGGTTAAGTGTAATATCAGCTTTCAGTGTTATACCTTGTGAAATCAGTATGCCTAAAAAAAATTTCTTCTGAACTGGTTGAATGCCACGATTTTGTTCTTGATTTTTCGTTTGCAAGTTGTTGGTTCATATACTCATCTACAAAACGGTTACTTTCAGTAACAATATGAAGCACGAGCGGTTCATTAAAAAATAATTCAAAAAAGATAAAATGGGTTTGAAACATCCGTTATACCTTTCTTTATTCCTGGAACCTACTACAAAAAGTAAACGAAAACGGAGGACACGGTTTAAATAAAAAATGTTTTATTCAAACAATACCACGCAGTCATTACTTTCATCGCTTTAGACACATCCCTCTCTCCAATTTCTATCAACACCCTCTGATAATAGTATCCTCCTTCACATACTTTGTCAAGGTCATTGCAGTGTTGCCTTCCAAAGCTTTGCGAATAATTTTACGGGTTGCAGCACAAAGATAATGATAGTATTTTGAAAGGGCGTATATATACGCTCAGGGCAGTTAATGCATCAGCTGAGCAAGGCGTACATATACACGAATGGCAGTTATGGGGTTAAAAGACTTGTACACCAAGATAGGCCTTTTTCATGGATTTCAATAAACATAATTTTGGGGATAAAGAATCAAACATGTAAACATAATTTTTCTGGTAAAGTCTTATATAAACATTTAAAAAAGTCAGTAAAAGTATATTTACGGGTACCCCTTGGCAATTTTTTGCACTAAACGTGTTTGGTGAGAAACTCCAAGGTGCCATATTACCATCTAGATTTTTTGTATACATTTTCAAACTTTAAGCCTAAAATGTCTCTAAAAACGTGGTTTATTCTGTTTAAACTTAAACATCTACGGACTGCAAAATATAGGCATTGTGCACAAATCAACAAAATAAACTAAAATAAATTACATACAATTCAAATAACAAAAATTCATAACATAAAATAAAATGCACTTACCATAATACATACACGAATAAAATTTTGCCACTCACACAACATCTGTCAACAAAAGTGGCCCGATTTTGCTATATCACATGTCTTTGCAATTCAAAATTTCGAAAGTAACTATAAAAACTTCCTCCAAAGTTAACTTATTACACGAAAACTACAATCTAAATCTTAAAACTCCATTGACAGCCACATACTTTACCAGCAACCATTTGACTGCAAACCCACACAAGTCATCCGAGTTCTCATATCAGCTCCGCACTTCGGACAAACACTGTTTTAAAAGTCCTGATTCCCATAGAAATTCCAAAATTGCACTTCTATCCGCATAAACACACCCACGAACAAAAGACTCGTTAACAACTCAAACATCGTACCTTTTAATACTAAATTTACTTTGCACACAATCTAAAATACGAGACTGAAATCTTGCCACCACATCTCTCATTGCAACATTCAAAACATGCACGACACGAACTAACGACCAATTAAACCACTGCAGCAATGTCTAAAAGGTTGCCATACAAACAGCATTGTCCACCAAACCATCCCACAGTACGAAATCGTGCCAAAAACCAGCGCAGAACACATACTGCCACATTTGGTGATCTTAGAATGCACATAAGAGTAGAGCCAAAATGTCTATTCTCAGCAATGGAAAGCATTATTAGAAGAAAGCATACTCTTTATGAATATGAGAATAATAATTGTACATAATACAGTACATACTACATAATATAGATACAAGGAGTTAACAGCATTAAATTTAGTATTACATTCTTTAAATCAAAAATATCACTTTTAAATGCATATAAAATAAAATTTTTTGCCACCTGCACCAAGTGAACCAGAAATATCAAAGTTACAGAATTTTTTAAGGTCTACATTTAAATCCGAAAGTCAATTAATCTTAAGATTTTAATGATGAAAATATTTACACTATGTTTTTGCCATCCAGCCTCACATGCCTTATTTGAACCGAGGAGTTATTAAGAATATAAAGATGGAAAACAGATACCTTTTCACTTAACACGCTAACTTTGGAGAGAAAGCCCACGATTTTCAGAAACAATTTACTTTGTATCTTGTATGGAGAGACTTAAATCATCACTTTAGGTTACTGCTGACAGAAATTGTGGCCTATGATCATGTCCATATAGTGATTATTCGAGCAACAAAGATCCTCTCAGTTCTGAAAAATATCCAATATCCCCAAAGACTTAATTACATGTTCAGAGAAACTTCCTCTTCAGAGAACAGAAACTGTTTGGAACAAAAACCACTGTTTTGGAGATGTTATTTGATGCACTCACTAGCAAGGTATAACCAAGATAAAATTTAAAACTAGTGCTAATTTAACTTAGAGTAAAATTATAAATAGCCCAATAAGGTAAGAGAAAAACCTACTATGATACTTGAAAATAAATAAATAAATAAATAGACTAAAAGGTTGCACTTTTTCTTCCCTCTTTCAACTGCCAAGAAACCTTTCATTTTCACATCACATGCAAACAAAAAAAATTTCAAAAATCCAATGCAGCCAGCCCATTTGCCAAGATTTCAACATAAGTCAAATTATCAAATTATAGTGGTTATTTCAGTCAGACACAGCCAGAAAGAATTCAGATTTGAGATTAAAGGGCTATAATTTTATACAAGTCAAGAGTATAAAAAAAAATTAGTCTTTATTTAAAACTAAACTATACAGACAGTTACATTTTCAATAATCTAAGATTTTTATTGCTGCATGTTGAAAAAATATCAAAATATACAAAAATTTTCCAAAAACAGGGCATTGCTTTAAAATATAATTTTAATTGGCAGGAATTCGGTATTAGCGAATACATTTTTAAACCTACGCAATTGCATATATGTTTATCTTAGGAGAACAAGAAAAAACGATTACATAAATAATGAATAATTAGTCATAGTGCACGACATATGTCCCGATTATTTTACTTAAAATGCACTTCCTATACATTTTCCAAACCATACTTGAGGATTTAATGCAGTAAACGCAAGTAATAAATCACATTAGCAAGTTTACAAAATAATCACATTACACTACAATATTGCTCACTTATTACATGAATACGAAGAGAAGAATAACTTACACAATCGTAAAATTCTATACATTGATTAGAACACGCGATTTGATGCATATGTAACAATTACGCACGGATGAAAACAGTCTTAAAATACATTAGCTTACGCAACTTGCGCATCACGTATCCTGCCGACTCATACATCAAGCCTAACCAGGGCGGCAAATAATTACAGGAAATTGTTAAAATTCATTAAATGCTCACAAGCTCCAAAATAACGTTCATTTTATGCTAACAAAATCTCTAACCTGAAAATACATTTTCACAAACATAAGAAGAAAAAGCCGGTAATTGTGACTGCGAAAACGCGCTATTGTTACCACGTGAGTTAAAAGTGCGTCTCGCCGCAGGTTTAATACAAAATTAATAATAATTTGAATATTTTAATTTAAATACCTGGATGGCCTTCACCTACAGATTCGGAAGTGAATAGAAAAGTACTTAATCCGTTATCAACGGATTCCACTCCGTTACGAACGACGAATTCCCTTTCTTCATCAGACATCTTCGAGGAGAGTTAACATCCACAGCAAGAGATGAATGGAAAAGAGACCTATTTATTGGCGCCAGGCCAGACAACAAAAAGTATTAAGATATCAAAACTGGCAACGGTTATTTTTGCGAGCCATTAATCCTGAAGAATTATGGTAGCATTGGGAAAGAAAAAAAAAAAAAAAAAACAGATGATTAAACAATATTATTCAGCATTATGCTATCATTTAAATTTAAGTATAACTTCATTTAAGTACAATTCGTCAAGAATATGCAATACGTGTACGTCATTCAAAAGTGTCGCAACGACGAAGTATTTCCCTACCACAAAAATTTCTTGTTAAAGATTAAAATATACATTTTCATAGCAAGGAACTGAGCGCGACCGCATAAGAACCCAGCTCGAATTCTGTAATGAGCTTATATTTCAATATCTCTATATTATTTGGTAGTTCTCGTGATTATATTCCAATTATTTAATAATAATGATTTAACAAATAAAAGAAAATTTTTAATTCTCTTTTTGATCGTGGGGTTTGCAAGTTCTGATACATTTAGAAAAAATAGCGTTTCATGGATAGAGTAATTAGTCAAACTGAAAACTTAGCAAGACGGTGGAGAATGAATTTCCGTATTTGAAGATGTCATGCTAATGAATATATACAGTCATACCCTATGGGTAGCGCTAGAACCACCAAGATATAATGTGCTCGCACTTCTCAGGAGTGTTTGTTGTGTGCTGGCAAGTAGTACGCTAGCATTCTCCAGCCAAGAGGGTTATAAATTGTTTTTTGTGTACCATTGCCTCTATACTATTTTTGTTTGTGTACAATTGACTCTACCCTCCCCCCCTTTTTTTAAGATCTTTTTATTTTTAATTCCTGAAATGTTAGTTTTTATAAATTTCTGTTCGAAAGAATCCTTCCAAACAAGTAAACTACCAGAAAGTAAATAGTTATCTGTATAACTGAAGTTTCTACTTTTTTATTAGGTTCTTTGTTATGTATTACACTTTTTCATATTGTCTTTCGGCTGAACTTCAAGGGTGAATGTCGATAACAGTAAGGCACCAACAATACAAAGTCGATACAAAAGAAGAAGAAGAAAGAAATCGCAGATGCTGAAAAAGGAGAAAAAGATCCACTTAGGTCAAAATTGCAACACCGACGTAGTTTGGGCGTATGCCTGTGGCTCACTTCATTTCAGTCTTTACTGTTTTTAAAAGTTAATAAGTCATTCTGCCTTCAGTCAATAATAATCTGACATAAACCATCCATTTATACAAAATATACAAATACATCATTTTGTTACTGCATTTCCAATTATTTATTAGAGAATTTATTTACGCCATTTTTTTTTGTATAATAATTATTTTATTTCTTATAAGAATGCTGGAGAAAATTTACGCCCTTATTTGCAGCAAAATCCCATTAGTTTATTCATACATATATTCTATTTTTCTTTATTTTTACAAGCGTTAGGTGTAAAGTCTTCATCAAATGTTTCATTTGAATACTTTTTACGTTTATTAGAATTTTTACTCTGGATAGAAACAAACTAAAGTTCTTGAAGCCGACTTATGTTTGTACAGTATAAATTTTCTACAATTTTAATTATGTGTCGGATACTCTTAATACTGTTCGATTCGTACCAACATTAGAAAGAAAAAGGCAAATATCGTTTTTGGTAACTAACTCAGCATCGACATATGCCAATCGTGGATGTCACGATTGAATCAATTATATTTTACTTACTACATATAATTTCAACAAACAGCAGGAGATGTTTTAGTAGTTTAATGTGATTTTCATTATTAGCTAAATCAGCTTTACTAAAATTGATATGCATTGTAAGATATGTCATAAGGTTATATGTAATTTTAGCCATTACATTAACTTCTCTTTTCTATTTCCTTACCAGAATGCAAATGAGATTATTATTATTTAAAATGATATTATTAAGTATCATTTTAAGTAATAATCTTATTGTATTTAAAATGTTAGATGCGAGTTTTAAGGCAGAGCATGTTTCTGGCTTCACGTGCAAGCTACATTTATTTACTGCCAGCTCTGATAGTTATATTTATTCGGATCTGTGTTTTATTCGCTGCTAACCATTTGATTTTTAAGTTGGGTATAATTACTAGTCTAGCTTCAGGTAATATTTAAATTATGTACTCTTTGACTACTGCTCTATATTTAACTTGAATGTGACTGTTGGTTTTAGCTGTATCATTGCGAACTGCGGCTGATTCTGTTGTCACAAGAAAGCGCGTTTATACACTGAATTCAGTTTTAATAAAAAGGTTATTTAAAACCTTTTACCAAATTCTAGTTACTTTAGGCATAGCGATAATTCACTTTACGTCTGCTGTAGTTAATAGACTAATTACCAGTTTCACATCAAGTAAAACTCCACAATTCTTTCAAAAAAGAAAAAAAAAAAAAAGGAACTCGTATGTAAATGGTTAAAAATAATAAAAAATTACAATATGGCTTGTATGGTAAATTTTCAGATTCTCTTTGACCTCTAATTTATATTTGTGTTCACCCCCCCCCAAATCAATACATCAGTAAATTTTTATGAAATAATAAGTCTTTCTTTAACATTATCTTTACGCAAATATCTCGTAATTGGTTCATTTAGCTTAAAATATTAGAAAGCATTATGTGCTTCTATGGGACAAGATTTCTCATATTTATCACAAGCAGTAACTAAATAATTTATAAACTAGTGTAGCCAATCCTATCATAAATCCTATCGTATTAAAAAGCTTGAAAAGAACTTTTAAGATGTGCTGTACTTTCTTCAGAAACGATTTAATAAAATCCATCAATTAAAAAAAGTTATAAAATTAAATGTTATGTGAGATAACAGAACGAAATAAATGTTGGTAAAACCAAAATTACTTGCTTTAGCAACTGGATCTGAAGCAGAATCCATGACTCCTCTTCACTGAAGGAAGATTTTATGGCTAAGAGATAAAATAAGTTTCCTGACAATCCCCTCTCCCTCTCATCCAGAAGTTGTCACAGAAATTAGAATATATGATTCTTTGCTTAGGTATCACAGACCAAGGTTATCTGCGTTGCGATTAGTTTCTTTTGTTTCACGGCATATTCACTTCGATAGTTTTGAGAATGTTTTGGTTATAGTTACCAGTACTCTAAGGGGTTCTAATTATTAGGTTTCACTGATTTCCGTATATGAGTTATCCTGATAGAAGTAATATTTCTAGGTTCATGCAGACAGGAACTCAATAACATTTAAAGAGCCTCCTTTTAAGGATTAACAAAATGCATGCAGATAACAGTCCACTTGACTATGCTAAAATAGAGAGTAATAAGTAACTTCAAATAGAGTAATAACTCTAAGAGGAACCACAATTCTAATTCGAAAGAATTTTAACGTGTTAAGCTATCCTCTTTATCTAACTGATTTGGGACACGACTTCTCCAGAATCCTCTACTCCAGCCAAGATTAAATATCGATAATCAGTACCTATTATTGCTTTCTGGAGGTTCCTTTTATCAGCTTTCTTCGTCCCATCTAGGCTCGAACTCGGCTGACGTTCTTCAGGTAGTTGTCAAATTCAGACAGGCAGAGACATCAGACAACTACAGACAACAGAAAACTTCTAGATTCCAGTTAAACTCTTATACCCCTACGCTCGTCTTAAAAATCTATACAGCCACCAGGAAAGAACGAGCTATGTGACTAAGTCAGAAGTGATAAGAAAAATAGAAATTCTTGTAGTTTCAACGTAAAAACATGCGTATGATATTGACATTTTTTCTCTGAGTACTACACAGGAAGCTTCACTAATAAGAGCACCTTTCGGTAATGCATTTTCCCGAGCTCCTTAGCTAACGCAGCCAAAGCGTACGCCACTGAAAAGTATTCAGAAATCGTTGGAAGATTCTTACGATCAGTGGAGTAGGTTATCTTTGAATCTGCTCTTCAACCTTGTTTCAACGATGAATAGTCATTCTTTTCCACCATTGGCCAATGCCACATTGCGTTTGGAAGCTTCAGATATTGTTTCGACACATCTGACTTGTAGTGATTTTCAAGATGTGAATTATGTGAGTAGAATTAATTCAAGGGATTTAGCGCTTTCGCAGAATGACAATGTGATTGATTTGAGTTCTCAAATTTCAACTGATAATGTCCCTAGTGCTACTAGTGCTTTTAGCGTAAACGTATCGTGTATTGTACGTGTTATACATGATGAGGCTAGTAATATAGAAGTCCATTCGAGTATAGGAAGGGAGCGGATAACCGAATTTATGAACAAAGTTGTTTATAATGATTTCGATTTCTACCCATCTGATGTGATTATTAACTCTCTGAGCGGCACGGGTTTTTGGATCTGTCATGAAGATTGTATTTATGCAACATTTTTTAGCTAAATTTATATAATTACATATTTTAGCCTCTATTTTAATAAACTTACGGTCATTACATTATTAAAAAAAGTAAGAAAGTAAAATATCTTAAGTTATAAGCTAATATGTGTCAAGTAACAAAAAATCTCATGAACGGATAAAACCGGTCATGCCGCTCAAAGGGTTTTAATGTACTCAAGAATGAAGGCATGTATGTATTGTCATGTATGTCTGTGTATTGCTTCTTCTCGGCAAGGGGATTCTAACCCTGATGTAATCAACACGTAGTGAGTGACTCGACTGTAGAAATCAACAAGATTACCAAGATTCTAAAAGGTAAGTGGATCATTATTAAAGGCAAAATCACAACAGTGAAATTGTACATACAAAATTGTACATACATCTAATTTAATTGTTAATGATGTTAATTATAAGGATACTCATGTTAATAATTGTATTTATGCTAACCGTAGTTTTGTGTAATAATACTGCTGTTCTAAATTTCCAATGAGGATGCGAAGGTGTGTACTTATAATATTTCTCCAGGTAACTCTTTCCGAGGTGGCGTTAAGCGGAAATTCCAATAAAATGTCTAAAAATGTTAAGGATTCAGTCCCACAGGATAATGATGATAGTTTTATGTACCCCTAAAATCCGACACATCCGGTTAAAT